TTAGAATCCCAGGGACATCAGAATGAAGTGTCAGTTGTCAGATTCTTTTAATATGTCTTCAGAATTTTTGCTTCAACATATAGAAAAGGGTTCATTTCCTTATTTCACACCAAATAAATATTCTGGGTGAAATAAGTCATTCATTGCCTGTGCCATTTTAGAAAAGTTGTTTCCTCAAAATACTGTACCTGTTATTAATCTCACTTTGCACTGACTATGTTTTGGTATATTTATAAATGGGGAACTCAGTTTCTGGAACTAAACTTATTTGCCATTTTCTACTGGAAATTTGAGCATGCTGGCTTTTTCTTAGGATGATAAAGGTTAGGATGCATTTCCTTATTTCACACCAAATAAATATTCTGGGTGAAATAAGTCATTCATTGCCTGTGCCATTTTAGAAAAGTTGTTTCCTCAAAATACTGTACCTGTTATTAATCTCACTTTGCACTGACTATGTTTTGGTATATTTATAAATGGGGAACTCAGTTTCTGGAACTAAACTTATTTGCCATTTTCTACTGGAAATTTGAGCATGCTGGCTTTTTCTTAGGATGATAAAGGTTAGGATGCCAAGGTTGTGGATTTGATCTCCATAAGGGCACATACAGGAAGCAAACAGTGAATGAATAAATAAGTGGAACAAATCAATGTTTCGTTCTCCCTCTCTTTTACTTCTTCTCTCCATTATCAATAAATTAAAAAAAAAATCTTAGGACCAGACAACATTCCCCTCCCCCCCACCCCATCACCATGTCACTAAGACCTATTTACAGCAGCTCCTTCCACTTGGTGCATCTTGTCTGGCTTTCAAGGAAAAACAAGGCACCACAAGGCAACAAACAGATTGAAGAGACAGGAGCAAACACTGACACCACCAGATGCTGGTGAGGACGTGGAGCAGCAGGAACACTCACTGCTGGTGGGAATGTGACGTGGTGCATCTACTCTGCGAGACAGTTTCTTACAAAACTGAACACATTTTCACCTTATAATCAGCAATCATGCTCCTTGGTTATCACCCAAAGGAACTGGACACTTAACATGCACACAAAAACCTGCACACAGATATTTAAAGGAGCTTTATTTGTAACTGGCCTGGTGCATGAATTTGTGTACCACTGGGGTCCCTCGGCCTGGCCTGCAGGATCGGGCTGAAACACTCTCCGACATCCCCTGAGGGGTCCCAGATTGTGAGAGGGCGCAAGCCAGGCCGAGGGACCCCACTGGTGAACAATCAGCCAGGGAGGGACTGTGGGAGGGCTCCAGGGCATGTCTGGCCCGTCTCCTGCAGTCCTGATCAGCCAGACCCCAGCAGCAAGCTAACCTACCAGTCAGAGCATCTGCCCCCTGGCAATCAGTGTATGTCATAGCGAGCGGTTGAGCAGCCTTAGCAATATCATTAGCATATTATGCTTTGATTGGTTGAACGGACAACTGGACACAGCATATTAGGCTTTTATTATGTAGGATTGTCAAATCTTAATGTATTTCAGTTTCTGACTTCAAATCTCCGAGGCAAAGATGGACCTTTAGTAAGTACACACCATGTGGAAAAGATAAAATTAGCCCTACTCCTCACACTGTACAAAATCAAAATCTAAACAAGTGACAGGTCTACATGTGAAAAAGAATCTATAGAAGCATGGAGACAAGATGAGGCTGAACTCCTGTGGGGAACCTCCCAACTACGCTGCGGGAAAGAGGACTCATAAACATGAAAACCTCAAGTTGAGAACATCTGCAGAGTCAGAAGACAAACGGGGAAACTACTTCAACACACATTGCAATAATGGGTGAACACCCTACGAACTGAAGAATTGTAGAATGAAAAGGAAAATGACCAACAATCCAAAGGAGAATGGACAAGAGATGTGAACCATTTACCGAAAAGAGAGCCCTTAAAGCTGTAGGACACCAACTACAACCCCCAGAGGAGGAAGAGCATATCTATTGTGAGACACCACCACTCATCTCACAGACTGGCAGCTTGATGGGGCTTAATTGACCCTTTCGGTCTCAGGCTGCTCCGTGAAGAGGAATTTGGCAAGACTGAGCCAAGCTAACACACACTGACCATGATCCAGTACCTCACCTCTAGGAACTTACCTTGAAAATGCCCCTTAAGCCATATGAAAGTACAAATGCATATGGGTAGTTAAAGCAGCATCATTTGAAGTTTGAAAATATTGGCAACCGCCTAAATGCCCACATAGGAGATTGAAGAAATGAGCGTCCACATACACAGGGTGACTGTGTCTCAATCACAAAGGCCCCTCCAGGGACAGGCAGAGTGACTCCAAGTGCTCCAGGAGAGCAGGTACAGAATGCCACCCTGCATTAAGGGAGGTTTTGCTTACCTTCACAGAAGCCCAGGGCAGCCAAGGAAACCAGGGCATTAGTGACAGGAAATGGTGGGAGTGACATCCCTGCACAGACCTTGGCCACGACCGACTGACTGGAAAGAATGGGAAGTCAGACCCCAAGACTAAAACAAGCAGAAAGCATGAACCCAACGATAAATAAGATGAAAAGGACACCACCATTCAGGGGACTAATCCAGGACAGTGTTCAACCTTGAACCCCAGTCATGGGTACTAGAGTGAAGGTTGCAAAGAGCTGAGCTTCGTTCCACGGGTTTGTTTCCGTAGTCAAATGGCAAAGCGATCCCAAAGCTACCCTGCTGAGCAAACGCCTGCTATTGCTGGGGTCAGGGTCTCACGGTGGGAGCCATGACAGGTGTGGACTGCGGGAAACAAACACAAGCCCATGTACTGGTGGGATTGGAGGTGTCGGCACACACCATTTCTCATTCACGTGTATGTGTGTGTGCGCGCGCGCACACGCGCATGCAGCACGCCTAGCCTGCCTAGCTCGGTCCACAGAAGGGACCTAGAAACAGACGTACCAATAGCAGTGAGCACATTTGTACCAGATCTTGGTTTGTAAAACCATTCCCTGCCAAAAGGTGCCCTCAGAGAAATGACTGGTTCCAGGGTGTGGACAGAGGCCTAGAAGAGCAAGAGTGCACACCTTATGCCAAGAAGTAGGACAGTGCTCCAGAAGTTAACATGATGGGGCATGTGACAGCCTGACAACCCCGTGGAGTGAATCCTGCACAATCTGAACACAAGGTAAGTAGACGGGGTGACTCTCAGACCACCAGGCCCAGCAGCAACTCAGACACACATGCCAATAATTGACAAATATTTGAATGCTGAGAAATTACCTATGAGCGACAAATGCCAATCATAGATAAATAACAAGTACTGATGACAAACTGATAAATGGGGGCAGGCGAGAACTCACATACAGTGCCCAGTGCTGACTGGCAGGTGTGGAGGCCCTGCAGACTGCTGGCCACATGGTCAGCGGTCGCCAAGTGTGGCACAGCTGCAGGAGGTCCTGGTCTGAGGGTCTGCAGTCTGCCAGTCAGTTGCTGTGGAGCAAACAGTGACTGCAAGGTGTCTTTCCTAGACACACCAGGGTTTTCAGGGGTCCAGGCCATGCGATAGGCAACTCACTCTCGAATGCTCAGACAATAGCTTGTCTTTATGCACTTAAGTCACGTGTGTGTGCATGTGGTATGTGGGTGCATACATGTGCAACGACATACTTCTTTGTATTAACTTCAGTGTCAGACACACTTTGGCTCCTTAATAAATGTGGTTCAGTAAAGCATAAATGTGCCCAATCTATATATATAAAAGACTAATATGCTAAGTGTCCGACCATCCGACCAGTCGCTATGATGCACACTGATCACCAGGGGGCAGACGCTCAATGCAGGAGCTGCTGTGATGTGCACTGGCCTTTTACAGAGAAACGGCAGACCTGGCACCAATAAAGCAACACTCGGCTTCCCCCAAGTGGGACACAGGCCTCGCCACCACCCCAGAGCGATAGCCCACCAAATCGCAGCCGATGCTGCCATGGTGCAAAATGTGGCCCACAGCCCAGCCCAGCCCGGAAACAGTGGCTGTGAGCACTGGGTAATGACGTCACGTAGCAACGTCCGGCTTCCTCTCCCTAGTGACTAGCTTCCTTGTAGTTTCTTCAGCCCAGGAATATGACTTGCTTTATAGCCAGGTGGAAACATTTCACACTTTAACCCAGTGGTCGGCAAACTGCAGCTGGCGAGCCACATGCGGCTCTGTGGCCCCTTGAGTGTGGCTCTTCCACAAAATACCACGTGCGGGCGTGCATGTAGTGCGATTGAAACTTTGTGGACATTAAACCCAAGTCGGTATCTTGTGGAAGAGCCACACTCAAGGGGCCAAAGAGCCGCATGTGGCTCGCGAGCCGCAGTTTGCCGACCACTGCTTTAACCAAATGTCTGTTTAGTGTTTTCCCTGCCTCATCTCATTTGATCCTCACAGAAGTCCTGAAGTACGAAGATAGGAGACTCAGTAGAATCCTATTTTCTTTCCATTAGCCAGAAAAGGGAGATTTAGAAAGCTTAGAAACTTGACCCGACTGAAAAGCAAGAAATGGTGGACCTTGAAAATGACTTCAGGTTTTCTCACTGCACAGAATATAGTCAAACACTACTGCAGTTAAATATTTCACCCGTGTTCTCCCTGCGTGATCTAAAATAATCATCTACTTCGTGTTGATATTTACTGCTGTGTTGTTGACAATTACCTGGAAGGGAAGTTGGGGTGCTTCACTGGGCTGGAAAGTTTAGCTAAATCAGAAAGCAGGTCTAATGAAGCAAGTTTATTCTATATCTAGAAAAGGCTAAGTTGACATGCGCATGCGCGATATATATAAAGCTCTTGCTGGCGTCAATTGCAAACACGTTTCGATCTGTCATTATTGATCGTGAATTTGGTTGACACTTCTATTATAGAAAAAGGGTAAATAGCGATATTAAAATATTTCTTCTAATTAATTTCCTTTCAATGTGCACAAATTCGTACACCGGGCCACTAGTTCATCACATAAAAATAAAACCTAGGTGAAGGCACTCTCTGGAAACATCACATATAAGACGGCTAATAAGAAAAGATGTACAAACTTTAATTCTTATCCCACTTGAACGTGTATGTCTGAAATTTCCTTGTGATGGAACTGTGTCCCTGGGACGATGGAGAAAAATTCGCCAGCGTGGGATTCAGGTCGGGGTACGCCATCCAGCAGGTGCGAAGGCTCCGACTTCACAGCTACAGACACGTGATCTTCCCAAAGGCTGCACTTAGTTAGGTGCTCAGGCCCACCACGGGCAGCAGATGTGGCTGCCTCCCCAAAGCAGCTTCCCAGGACAGCCGGCTGTGCCCAGGCCCCCTGGTGTGCAGTGCAAACGTGGGGTCCCTGTCTCAGGGGTGGCGGGGGTGGCTTTGGCCGGCCTTCCAGGGCCTGTATAGGAGGCACGTCATGTGTGTGGTTGTGCCTGTGCTGTTCTCGTCGGGCGCTAGGCGTTCCCTCAGGAGGGCCTGAGCCGTCTCTCCAGAAGCACCAGCTTTGTCTGCAGGTTGACGTTGAAGGGAGGCAGTCTGGTCAGGTTCAGACTCACCCCCGTGGTGCCTGCGACACTGGCCAGCACCCGGTGTGTGTCCCTGTAGAGGGCCAGGTGCTCAGGGACCGCCTCCATGAGCAGGTGTGTGTAGGCCAGCATGTGCTCCGACCCAGGCTGCACATCCTCCCTCTTCTCGTATCTGCAAGAAGACAGGAGAAGGCATGCACCTGGGCCATGGCCCCATGCCAGCCCCATCACCATTGTCCCCACCTGCAGTGACACAATGGCGGGAACATACCTCCAGGCGCTGTTGACCTCCAAGAACCGAGACACGCCCGTCTGTGCAGCAGCCACATCGATGTGCAGGACAACGTCTGGGGAAAACCTTGTGCGCGGTTAGAACCGGGCCGGGCGCCTCTGCCCGAGCTGCAGCGGGTCCCGCACAGCCGAGCACCTACCTGTCCGGGGGGGCACCAGCTCGTGCAGCCGATGCATGGCCACGCCACCAGGGTAGTTGAAGTGGGACACGTAGAGGGCCGTGGCCGAGTGGGCGGCGTTCAGCACGAGGTGCCCGAGCACGAGGAGGGAGCCTGCGCGGTACAGCCAGGACTTCTTGTTGTTGTTCAGCCTGGAAAAGAGCAGTCGTTTCGTGGAAAGTGAGTGACAGCCACGGGTGGAAGAAATGTCACCACGAATATGAACCTGCTGGTCCCCTTCGCTGAGTCCTAACAAGGTTAATCACCAAGTAGGTATATAAATCACCAAAGGAAGTGGGTCAACTACCTTACAAGTTTTCCCTCTGAAATTTCACCCAAAATGACAATTTAAAATTGATATTAGAATTTGAAACTCCCTGAGTTATGACTAGATTCGAGTACAGCCCCGAGGCCAAACACTGAATGCTGTGCGGCTTGTCAGGGAGCCGGCGGACACGGCGCCGGGCAGAGGCCCCAAGAGACCTGAGCCCACGGAGAGAACACCGTCCGCCTGGGCCGTCAGAGGTGCTGGCCTGTGTCAACTCAGGGGACCCTTGACCAGACTCCGCGCAGGCCCCGCTGAGCCCTTCTCAACCAGGCGTTGGCCGATCGGGACTGCAGAGCCTCGGTATGAACAATGTCACCACCAATGGTCTTCACTGTGGTCCAGCCCAACCTGGGGAGGGACGGTGGCCCTGGACCGCTCACGGGCAGCGAATGCAGAGCTTGTGAGTATGAGTTCCGTTTCTGCCTTTTGAGATGCAAATCTACCACCCAAACCTTCACCCCAGGCCCCGGGATCAATGTCCAGGAGTAACTGCTGCGTCCCTGTGGGGGGAGGGGGCCCCCGTGCCCGCTGCCTCCTGCCAGACACACAGCTTGTCCCTTGCTCTCCGGCCCCCACCGGCCTGCTCTGCTACCCCCGTGCCAGACTATCGGTTGGGGAGGGTGCGTTCAGTGCAGGGCATCATGGGAGGACTCCACGTTCACAAGTGGCCGGCTGGGATCTGATGAACTAGGGCCCCCTTCTCAGCCCCCAAAGCGAGCCAGCCTGCCTCACCTGACCCCCGCCTCACACCCTCATATCCTGCCTGGCCGCTCTCTCCTGCTGCCCCGAGTGACTGAGCCCTGGACACAGCTGAGCCCTGGACACAGCAGAGCCATGCGCAGACAGGCCTGAGACAGAGACGGACCAAGCAGAGCCATTGGCCAGTGCGTGGCCCATCCTGACCCGGGCTTGGCCCAGAGGCCGTTGCCTTGGAGACAGTCAGGGCCGCCCTGTTTCCCTTGCAAACCGTCCCCTTTGAGACTCAGCAGCTGCGGGCAGAGCCAGCACTCACAGGTAGGCGCAGCCCCGGGCGGCCACGGCGTTCAGCAGGGGGAAGGTGTAGATGATGAAACGCAGCTCCTTGTGGGGGAGCAGCGAGTACAGGGCCACGAACCCCAGTGCCGGCAGGAGCAAGGCCCAGGCCCTTCTGTCCACGAGGCCCAGGGGCACGAACAGCAGGCTGCTGCCCAGGCCCCGGGGCAGGGCCGAGTAGAAGTACCACAGCAGGGGCGAGGTCTGGGCGGGAGGGTCAAGGAGGCCACGTGGCAGCGATGGTCATGCATCCAGCCAGTCGGGTTCAGGCCAGGAGCACAGGGAAGACACAGCCCTGACAGGTGTCTCTGAACGGGGCGCCCCGGACCCCTGGGCCTCAGGTCACCATGTGATCCCCTTCGCTCGGGGACAGAGGCCAGGGCCTGGGCCTGGGCAGCAGTGGCACGTCCAGTGAGCGGTGACCAGGCTGTGCAGGGCTTTTCCCTCCATGGAAACCACTGCTCTGGGTGATGGGTGCACTGGGGACCTACCCACGGTCCTTCCTGTGGGTTTAATATCCCACAATAACGCACCAGAGAGCAGCCACAGGACTGAGGGGGCAGCTGGGGCTCCAAACGCAAGGAGTTGTTTCCATGGGGTGGGCAGGACCGGAGCAGAGGCCCCAGCCCCGCGCTGCAGGGCCCCTGGGTGGACAGGGTGAAGGTGCCGTTCCTGGTGCTATGGCTGCTGCCACACCGCTCAGGTGCCCCGTCGGATGAGACAGTTGGAAGGAGAGCAGCTCGCCTAGCCTGAGTGAGGCCCTGGCCGCCGGCACCCTGCCCAGTGGGCCATCCCACAGTGACCGGTAAAGGATACTCCCCAGTTAGAGCTTTTGTTCTGGACGGTGTTATACCAGAGCACAGTTCCTTCCGGCCACACAAGGTAGCGCCAAAAATAGGAGTCCACCGCCACCGTCAGTCCTGGCAAAGCAATGGTTCCTCAGGAAGGGACACGGCCCCTGAGCGCTGCTGGGGGAGTGAGGGCGGCCCGTGTCCCAGGCCCCAGGGCCATGTCCCCACGAGCCATCAGCTTCACAGGAAGGAACTGGCGTGTTGGGGCCAAGGTCCCCAAGGGCATCTTCCCGTGGGTCACATGACCTGGGCGCAGTGGGAGGAGGGGAGCGCCTTTTGGGGACGCTCAGGCAGCATGGCAAGGACTCTCTATTGCTGCTTAGATTTCAAAGGAATTTTGTTTAGTGACAAAAATCAAACCCTCCCCATTTTTCTTCATTTCTGAAATGAAAGCAAGTACTACCTCCAGGCAGGAGGCGGCACTCCGACTCACCGAGGCAGAGCAGGCCGGCGGGCACGGCGCAGCGCAGGGCCCTGGCCACGGACAGCCGCCGGGTGCAGAGCAGCAGCAGCAGCACGAGGCCCAGGAGCAGGCTCAGCTCGGCCCGGAAGACCAGGATGGCCAGTGCCGAGAGCCGGATGAAGCGGGCCCACCGCTGCTGCAGCCAGGCCGCCAGGGCCAGCAGCACTGTGAACCCAAGACGCAGCACTTACTTCTCGTGTGAGAGCCACGCAGAACCACAGGAGCAGCACACACCGCTCAGGACTGTCCCCGTCCTGCCCCTGCCCTGCATCCTGCACTGTCACACAGCCCAGACCCCAGGGGTATCTCCAGAGCCTGGGGCTCCGTGTGCAGTGCCCACTGCGGCCATTCTCCACTCCAGTCCTGCTGGCTCCGCCCACAGTTCACGGGGAATGGCGCTCTGCTCGCCACCTCCCCAGGCATGGTGAGGGCCAGGCCACGCCTCTATTGGGTCAGCATAGAACCCCAAACCCACGCCACCCATGGCCTCCTTGTGGCTCTCCAATCTGCCTGGGGCGCCCCCAGAACACCCACAGCGAGCTGCCACCTGCCCCGAGTCCCTGCAGGGCCTGCACAGGGAGCCGTCCCAGGTGCTCCCTTTCCTGGAAAGTGCACTCCACCCGCCCGGGCTGTCCCATCACTGGGTGTTTCTACGACGCCCCACGGGGCGCAGCGATCGCCCGGCAGGTGCTCCTCAGCGGACACCCCCTCACCTGTCCCCTGGCAGGAGTGCTCCACCCCGCGAGAGGCATGGGAGCCATCGCAGGCCTGATCGGCGTCCACTACGTACCCACGGGCAGCGCCAGCACGTTGGGGAGCGTCCGCGTGCAGTAGAACATCAGGTGGAACTGCGAGGCCGTCATCCAGCAGAACATGGTGGCCGCCGTGACCCCGAAATGCCGGCGCACTTCTTTTTGCAAAGTCCAAAGTCCAAAGATCACCCCGAGTCCAAGGACGGCTCTCACTAAACAGAGGCGACAGGTGTGTGACCGCCCGGCCCCGCGGGTCTGACACTAACCTGCAGGGGTCGGTCAGCGACCTGGTGACAGTGAAACAACCCTGAGAGGGGAGGGTCTTTGGTATTAAAAACGACTGCATGTGGGGAACGGATGGCCGGCCCCAACACTTCACTGTGACGGTGAGACGTGGGCAGGGTCCGTACCGGGGTGACGAGCCCGAAACTGGCACCAGAAGCCCTCACTTGGCGGGGACACCTCCAGCGCCACATGCTCACAGGCCCCCACTGTCCCGCCCAGGGCTCCCCGCTGCCCCCGTGACCAGCCGGCCTGTCTAGCTGCCAGTGTGACTGCAGACTGCGGCCTCCTGGGCTGCCTTCCGAGAGCCCAGCAGCCGCTCCTTGGGGATCTGGCTCCTCAGGGACCTGGCTCCTCGGGGATCTGGCTTCTCGGGGATCTGGCTCCTCGGGAACCTGGCTCCTCAGGGACCTGGCTCCTCGGGGAACCTGGCTCCTCGGGGATCTGGCTCCTCGGGAACCTGGCTCCTCAGGGACCTGGCTCCTCGGAGATCTGGGTCCTCGGGGATCTGGCTTCTCGGGGATCTGGCTCCTCGGGAACCTGGCTCCTCGGGGATCTGGCTCCTCGGGAACCTGGCTCCTCGGGGACCTGGCTCCTCGGGGACCTGGCTCCTCGGGGATCTGGCTCCTCGGGGATCTGTCTTGGTCGCCGTCAGGCCAGACAAATGCGCCGTGAGGCGGTGCTTGCGTCCGTGGGGGAATGCGACCACGGTGTGGGGTTAAAAAACTGAACTGGAGACAGTGCTGCTGGCTGGAAACTGAGGCTGCAGAGCTCGACGCAGACAGCCCGAGTTCACAGCCCGAGGGGCGCCCGTCAATTCCCTGTCCCGGGTCACACACCAGAAAGGGCTGCCGTG